GGGGGATCCAATGTCACAGAGTTGTTTGTCCATTCTTTTTGCATTGAATCTTTTATATTACTGAAAGCTTTCCTTGTAGCATGGAAACAGGAATAGCTGTAAAGATAACAATTCACATCATCATGCTCATGTGATACAGCTTGTTAAAGTTGAACAGGCAAGATTTTCTCTGAAACCTTTTACTTAATTGTGTATACAGTTCTTTGAAAAAGAAAACAATCACAACAATGATGAATTGCCTTTGGGAATAAGACTGTGTTTGACTGTTGCATGGAAGTCTTTCCCTTTCAAGTCATGATTCTAATCTCACTAGCTAGTGCCCAGCAAAAGTGAAAGTACATGAATTTGCTTTCGGTAAAATTTCTGCACAGCCCCATACTATTGTAAAACAAATCTGTTTTCCCAATGGCAATGTATTGTTTTTTTCATTGTTTTCTCTATCCAAGAACTGAATGCATAATATCGTATGGGGCTGTGCAGAAATTTTACCGTCGGCTTGAATCACAAAGCCATTAAGTTGATTAATTATCAAAGTTCGAATTTATGAAATGTAATTTTAAGTAATAATATCTAGCTACCCTCCGAAAAAGATTGAGTAAAAATTAATTATAGTTTATTAATAATATTACATTGGTTGTGAAAACAAAGCTAGCAATGCAACGCTTGAAAGTGGGTAAGTAGTTACGAAAAGGAGTGTTGTTTACAACTGCCACGATTATTATGCACATAATACGATAGACAAACTAACAGTAATCACCATGGTCAGTGTACCGTTTAGAATTGATTGAATTGAGTATTCGAATTTATAAGGCAACGCTAAGGCATACTAAAACAAGGTTGGTATATTTAGTGAGAACATCACGTGAGTTCAAAACTGAGCTGAACAGTGATATTTGTTAACTCTGTTCAGAAAATAGAATACTTTGAGTCTATCACTGTTTCTTCATTTCTATGCGTTGGATAGTTAAGAATACAAGAAGTTCTGGTACCTGAAAAATGTGAGTAAAAACACTATCAAGTGGTGGATTGTCCATTTCCGATACTCAGCCATGATTTTCAAACTAATAACTTGGAATGGATGTTACAAGTTTGAGCCTGCAGCATCTCTCTCTATCAAGCTGCCAGAAAAAAAGTCATGCGCTTGTCTATTACCCAGCGATGTTTTCGAGCTACAATTTGAACACACGTGGAAAGTTTTATAGCAAGTGGAAGTAGGAACGGTTCATTTTCCTCAAGTTTTGGTATGTTTGGCTTTCTCATTAATGTTCTTCTTTAAATTTGCTATGACCTCTGTTCATTAGCGAGTAAATATATTCACACTTTAATGACCATGGGTTTCTTTACGTGAGTTAAAAAAGGTGTGTGTTGCTCACCGATATTTCAGATAGGTTAAACATACGTACGTTGCACTTGATTGGATTCATACATTACTCGCGAAAAACTGTTAAGTCGCATTTGGTCTTTCATGTTTTTGATGTAAGTATGGTTTGACTTGTATTACCAGCGATGGGATCGAAGTCAAAATGCTACAAGTGTAGCAAACCAGGACATTTTGCGAAGGAATGTAGGTCTGCCTCAGAGAACAGAAGTGGCAGTGGGGCGAGTTTTGGAGGTGAGCGAAGATCCTTTTTATTTTATGATAGTGTAACTGAAAATCACTCGGATAATGAATAAAAATGATGTGTATTTAAGGTAAAGGGATAGTTTTGAATAAGGCACATGGCAATAAAAACCGAACCCTATTAGACTTTGTTATGCCTCATGGATCTTTACTATTGTTTTTAATTTCTACATACACTTACGTTACACCCAGACTTGAAATTAACCCGTTGTTCGGATTTTCTTGGTTTTTTTTTGTGTGTGCACTACTGCCGTATTTGCGATTTCTTCTGAAGATCTCTCACGAAAATGAGCCAGGTTTTGAAATACTTTGAGTGTGCGTTAGCGTATGTGGATGGTGCTTGCCTTGAGATGGTAAACGTGTACTCTAGGAAGTTAGCGTAAATATTTAAATAGCTTTCGTATTTCAGGTGTCAAGGTATTGACAGTAAAATCCTCTGAGTATTGAAATTTAATATATTAAGCAAATGGTTCTGACTTAAACCTACTCTGCTATTTTTCTCGAAGAGCTTTATCTCAGCATCTCAGGGTAAAGTGTTACATTCCCAAGGTTCCTGTAAGCCTTGTAAATAAAAACTAACACAATTTTAATTTCTTTCATTTTCACCCATTCACAAAGAAATTTGCAGCATTTACTCAAGCTCTTTTATTTGAAAATGCATAATTTTGTAAATACAGTTAATTTTGAGGAGTACACTGAATTTAATATTAAAATGTTTCATCTGTGTTCAGATGCTGTCAGTCCATGATGAACAGGGGACATAATATAGTGTTTCCTGGATTTCATTTTGAAATGGCAAAATATTTGGGTGGATAAATTTGAGTAGGGCATGGTTGAATTTTCATGAGTTGTGCATAGTAATGACCATCTCGTATCTAGGTTGTGTTACTGATTAACCCTTTAACTCCCATGAGTGACCGAGACAGAATTTCTCCTTACAGTATCAATACAATATCAACCAGATAAGTGATGAGAACAAAGGAAAACATTAATTTGGAGATAATTAGTTGATTCAATACTAAATTCTCTGAACTAACATTATAAGAATTGTATGGTCGACAGTAAGGAGAATTACAAATTTGATCTGGGAGTTAAAGGGCTAAGTAACATTTGACATGAAATGCTGGACATTTGAACCATTGGTAAATAAATTTGAATAAGGAAGGTAAGGTTTGTGTATCAATTAGGCTTAAGGTAATGCAAATCGACCAATTCCATTTGTAGATTAAAGGTAAACTTGGAACTTCATCCCATATTTACATGGTTGTCACCAATCAGGAAAAAGTCTGGGGAAAAAGTATCTCTTCAAAGTTAGAGAAAAGTCAGTGAATTCTACAATGACTTAGAGATAATTTAAATCTTTACAACAAGTCTGTGAAAATATAAATCAACAGAAAAATTGCATTCACTCCTCTTGTCTTGGCCCTCCTAATGATTGAAAAATACTTGTAATGATATTTAAGCTGCATCCCTCTCTGTGGTTAAATATAGTAGATGGATGGAGAGGGTAGCTGGGAGGCGATATTGGTGGCCATCTTCAGGTTTTATTTGTGAAATCGCAATCTAGTTGGTCAAAGAAATTTTTACATTTTTGAAAGAAAAGATTTAGGTAAAATTCTGGTAATTTCAAAAACCCATGGCTGTGACAACCATGGTTCAGGTGTTCTGCAATAATTGTGTGGACTGAATGATTTTGAAACATCAATCAGAGTGATTTTATGATAAATAATTTAAGCAGGTATCATAAACAGTACTGCATTTTTCTTTTGTAGCATTAGACATCCTATATGCGCATGTAATTCTGATGCACTACACATGTGAACTGTGCATGCTGCGTGTCATTGCATGCAAATGCGTTTAATAAAAAATGTATGCTATCAAGAGGAAAATGTGTATAAATTGAAGGCCTATATTTAATTTTTCCAAATATTCATAAAATTACCTTTTGCTAATTTGTAGACAGAAGCTGTTACATTTGTGGAGAAACTGGACATATATCCAAAAGCTGCAGCAAAAAGAGTGGTATGTTTAATTAAACACCAGTTGTGAACAAGTTACTAGTAGCTGGCATTATCCCTTCATTGAAATGTTGAGAGATCATTGAAACTCATCAGCAGTGGCAGGCAACTTAAATTGTCTTGTGGCTTGTCAGGTTAGAGGGAAAATTCTTAAAATGAAATGGTTGTCAATGACCCAACTTCGTTAACTCTTCAACTGCTTAGAGTGTCTGGCTTGTAATTTCTCTTTTTAGTGTCACCCTTGAATCAAAAGTTAAGGGACTTGTCAGAAATTAGCAGGGGGG